CACCCCCCCGCTTTTATCGAAAGGGTGTGTTAAAACGGTACTCCGCTCTCAACGCAACTTTTTTAGAAAAGCCCCCCCCCCCCCGCTTTTATCGAATGGGTGCATAGAGGGGGGGGGGGGGCAAAGTTAAATGAAAAATAAGTTGGTGCCGAAATGACAAGTTAACATCGCTATTCAGAATTAGATAAAAGGGTTATTATTCATAAGTCTATGGGTCGTTATTGTTGTTAGTACTAGTATTATCATTATCATTATTATTGTTGTTTTCAGCTATCATCATTATAATTATCGTTATCATTATTGTAAAAAATGTTGTTGATGGCCAATCAACAAACAGTAATTGGCGTATTTTGTAAGTCATTGATCATGAATAAACATTGACCCTCCAATATCGTTCAAATGGCACAAATAATAATGCATCCCATGCAAAACCTATGGAATGTCAAAGGTAACAATTTAGCTGCCCCTCTAGTCCTCCTCTAGTCCTCCTCAGTGCCCCCCCCCCTGGAAAAAAAAAGAAGGAAAAAAAAGGAAAATAAAGAGGGGGAAAAAAAAGAAGGAAAAAAAAGAGAAAAAAAAAGAAGGAAAAAAAAAAGAAGGGGAAAAAAAGGAAAAAAGGGAAGGACAAAAAAGGGGAAAGATGTGTGTGTGTGTGTGTGTGTGTGTGTATGTGTGTGTGTGTGTGTGTGTGTGTGTGTGTGTGTGTGCTAAAGAAAGCAACAACAAAAAAGTGCTCCTCCCCCCCCCCCCCTCCTAAGCCACTAAACGACATATCTGACGACGTAATTTTCTAATTTCCGAGGCCAGCATTAAAATTGATTAAATGCCTTAAAACCCCTGATCTTCCGGGGCTCTGCCCCCTTGATTTCACCTAGAACCCAAAGTCAGGAACCTGGGTGCTCACCTGACGGTAATTTATTGCCTAAAGCCCCCTGGAACCAACCTAGGGCCATAAGGCGGACGGCTGGATGCTAATCTGACGGTAATTTAATGCTTAAAACCCCTGAGCTTCTGGGGTCTCGGGCCCCCTGCACCTGACGCCAATAAGTGTCCTGCCAGTGTCACAAAATAAGGTTTCAAAATATGTTAATCTGACCGTAATTAAATGCCTAAAACCCCTAAGTTTCCGGGGTTCCACCCCTGGACCCCACGCCAATTCGTGACCTGCCAGTGTCACCAGTGGCGTACCTGGGGTACTCCGTCAGGGGGGGCAAGCGACCGAAACAAACAAAAAAGGCGATGCTAATTTTCACTTCTGGCGAGCGAGCGAGCAAAAAAAAATCTTTAAGTAACGTTTGGTATATAAACTGGTATTGTTGCAAGTTGGGGGTGGGAACATTCACTTGTTAGCGACGTTAATTTCATTTTTTTGCAAACGAGTGTAGCGAGCAAGAAAAAAAATCACTTCTTTTTTAATAATTGCCACTTAAATTTGGTTCAATTGTCCCATGCAGGGCGCGGGAACAATATTGTGTTTAGGGTGATTTTATACCCATTTTAGCTAGCGAGCGAAAATACATCTTTCTCTCAATGAATTGCTATATAAAATTTGTTTCATTGTTGCAGGTAGGGGGCGGGCACAATCGTGTTTAAGGCAATGTCAATCCCATTTTGGCGGGCAGGCAACCCCCTACATTTCTCTTTTTAATGATATTGTAGCAGGTTAGTGGTGGGCACATAATTCCACGAGCTAGCGAGCGTAGCGAGCGAAAAAAAAAAATTACTTTTCTTTTATAGGGAAAATATGGTACATAAAACTTGGGTTCATTGTTCCATGTCAGGGACGTGATTATTAAAAGCGGTGTTATTTCTATTTTGGCGAGAGAGCGTAGCGAGCGAGCAAAAAAAAATCACTTCTCTTTTATAGGGAAAATATGGTATATAAACTTGGGTTCATTGTTCCATGTCAGGGACGTGATTATTAAAGGCGGTGTTATTACTATTTTGGCGAGCGAGCGTAGCGAGCGAGCAAAATTTTTGTAATGATAATTGGTTCATAAATTTCTGATTTTTTTGTTGCAGGGCAGGGCTTACACAATCATGTCTAAGGTGATGTTAATTCCGTTTTGGCGAGCATGAGCACACCAAAACTTCTTTGAATAACGTTTGGTACATAATTATTAACTTGTTATTGCAGGTTGGGGCGGGCACGTTAGCGCTGTCAATTCCATTTTGGCGAGCGAGCATAGCGAGCAAGCAAAAAAAATCAATTCTCTTTTAATAGAAATTAATAAATAAACTTGTTTTTATTGGTGCAGGTCAGGATGGACGCAATCGCGTTTAACGCGATTCAATTCCTTTTTGGCGAGAGGGCGAAACAACTCTTCCATTTTTAATGATATTGTTGCAGGTCAAGGGTGGGCACAATTGTTTCCAAAGCAATGTCTATTCATTTTATTCGCGAGCGAATGTAGCGAGTGAGAAAAATGAATTGGTCTCTTTTAGTAACATTTGGTACATATATTGTGTGTTATTGTTGCCATGGTTGCAGGTTGGGGCCCGTCTGGGCAGGCACAATTGTATTCTAGGCAATACTAATCCTTTTCTTTTTTCAGGGGGACGAGCAAGTGAAAACATTTAATACAAAATAGGCTAGCAAGCAGTTCGCGCCAGCGAAGAGTTTCAAATTTGTTATATCACTTATATTTTCCTATTTTCATTTGTTTGCGGAATATTTTTCTGGTGGGGGAGGGGAAAGATGCGTTAAAAGTTTTCGAATAATCTCAAAAGCAAAAGGAGTGAAGGGAGTTCGAGCGACCGAACTGGTCATGAGGGTACTTTTGCATTTTCAAAAGTAGAATTGAAGGATTTGGTATAGGCCTACACTACATTTTCAGGAAAAAAACGTTTTCAAAATATCTGGGGTCAACTGCCCCCCCCCCCCCCTGGTGAGTACGGCCATGGTCTTTAAAAAAAAAAAAATCCCCATTTTTATTCCTTTCCTTTTCTTTTCCCTTTTTCTTCCTTTTCTCTTCTTCTTCCTTTTTTCTTTCCTTTTTTTACTTTTTTCTCTTTCTTTTCTTTTCCTTTCTTTTCTTTCCCTTTTTTCTTTTTTTCTCCTGGAGCCCGTCAGGGGGGGGGGGGGGGGCACTCTGCCTCCCTGCCCCCCATAGGTACGCCAGTGAGTGTCACAAATAAGGTATAAAATATGCTCATCTGACCATAATTTATTCCTTGAAATGCTAGAGCGCCGTATGGCAGCCGTGCTAAAGCCCCTCAGCTTCTGGGGGCTCCGCCCCCTGGACCCAACCCCAATTTGTGTCCTGCCAGTATCACAAATAAGGTATCAAAATAATGCTCATCTGACGGTAATTAAATGTATAAAACCCCTGAGCTTCTGGGGGCTCCGCCCCCTGGACCCCACACTAATTTGTGTCCTGCCAGTGTCACAAATATGGTATCAAAATATGGTCATCTAACGGTAATTTAATGTATAAAACCCCTGAGCTTCTCGGGGCTCCGCCCCCTGGACCCAACACCAATTTGTGTCCTGCCAGTGTCACAAATAAGGTATAAAATATGCTCATCTGACGATAATTTATTGTATAATGGGTAACTGGCAGGAATTTATTCCTTGAAATGCTAGAGCACCGTATGGCAGCCGTGCTAAAGCCAGGGTAATAATTGGGAGCGCCAGGAGGGTCAAATCTGACTGACATGAGCGCTATATACAAGAACCCACTATTATTATTATTATTATTATTATTATAAAACCCCTGAGCTTCTGGGGGCTCCGCCCCCTGGACCCAACCCCAATTTGTGTCCTGCCAGTATCACAAATAAGGTATCAAAATAATGCTCATCTGACGGTAATTTAATGTATAAAACCCCTGAGCTTCTGGGGGCTCCGCCCCCTGGACCCCACACTAATTTGTGTCCTGCCAGTGTCACAAATATGGTATAAAAATATGGTCATCTGACGGTAATTTAATGTATAAAACCCCTGAGCTTCTGGGGGCTCCGCCCCCTGGACCCAACACCAATTTGTGTCCTGCCAGTGTCACAAATATGGTATCAAAATATGCTCATCTGACGGTAATTTAATGTATAAATCCCCTGAGCTTTTTGGGGCTCTGCCCCCTGGAGCCCACACCAATTTTTGTCCTGCCAATGTCACAATTAAGGTATCAAAGTATGCTCATCTGACAGTAATTAAATGCCTATACCCCTTCTGCTTCTGGGGGCTCCACCCCTTGACCCCCGCCGAGAAACATTCAGCGTGGCCTGCATTTAATAGTGGGGTACGTGATGGGGATTTTTTTTTTGACTACCCCCCCCCCCTCCCAAACGTTTTTGCCACTGCCGGTGTCACCATAACGTACCAATATTTGGCTCGCATAATTTCAAATTTGGGCCCCCCCCCTAAGAAATCCTGGATCCGCGCCTGATGGTCCTCCTTTGGAGGACACGAATCTTTGAGTGCAACTTGGAAAAGCGCCCACTTCGGACGAAATACAAATAACGTCGCGCCGTTTATCGTCGCGCCGTTTGACCAATTATTCAACTCTGTTTATCGCCGATAAACAGCAAGAGAATCTATGTTTATCGAGGGATATGTGAGTAGCCAGGGACTCACATATCCCTGGAGTAGCCGAGAAGCCTGTTTCAAATCGGGCAAAGCTAGTTTTCATGCAATCGAAACCGGGCTGACCAGATTAAACTTAAAAAAAGCAGAAACACGAAGTTGCAAACCATCCAGAGACTCTGAATAAATTGCGTTACTTATTAATTAATTATTTCATTACAAATCTTTATTCTCAGTTTTCTTATGAAGACTATAACTGATTTTCTTATAAAATTGAAGATATTTATGGCGTATATATTCATTACTGAATGAACGCCATTAAACATTTACCAACAACAACAACGATATGTGAGTAACTCACATAGAGCCTATCCCTGGTTTATCAATAGTTTTCTCGATAAACAGTGTTTATCTGAATTATTGGTCAAACGGCGCGCCATATATGCTACCCTTTCGCGGTCGCCAAAATTAGGGCATATGACTAGGCTAGTTTATATTTAAAAATGACGCGAGCGGGTCACACATCACATTAATTCGGTGAGTTTTTTTCCCGATTATTGTTTCTTAACTAGGTCTAGGCTAGATCTATAAGTATAACGGTTTGAATATGGATATAACATGAATTCTTTTAAAACTGGATGAGGAATTGTTGAAATATGATAAAAAGCCGTTTTGTGGCTTGATCGAGAAAAGATGTGCTAGATTAGTCGTGACGAAGTCCTATCTAAGTTAGTGTAACTTAGGCCTACGCCGAGGGCATACCGGTACATGCCAACTGTTCAGATTAAAGAGGAACATTCCTCTTTTTGGGAGAAGATAATTATCATTTTAATGCAGGTGTTCCTCTTCCTGTACAAATTTGTCTGTAGTATTGAATAGGAGAGTTAGGATTGTTCCTCTTTTATTTGAAAATAGCATAATTTGTACAGATTTCTGATTTTCAAATGTTGGCATGTAGACCTATGCGAGGGCAATAGCCAAATCGTAACCTTCCTGAGAGCGTATAAAAACAACTAAAGTTAGGTCTAACTTAGGTCTATTTCTCGAATAATAAAGCAGTCATTTTTACTTTTATATGCCGAAAAAAATATGACACCACCTTGGCCTTTCTTAATTATCTGCACGGTTGTTTTTTATGAGTGTTTCTTTGAGAGTAGACTAGACTTTCTAGACTGTAGACTCTAGATTCTAACTTAGTCTAAGCAAGATATTTTTACAATTTTGGGGGTGGGCCGGCGCCGGCCTTGTGGGGAATATGGAGAAAAACCTGCGCTTTCATATGACACCTCATTTATTGAGTATCACCTTCAGGATCACAAGCAATATTAGTTTGAATCTCTGGTAATTAAAACATCGAGCATGAGTGCGCAATGGCCAATGGAAATGCATAGGGATGTGTGTAATCTCTACGGGAAGGATCTGCATCTGTCCGTGACGTACAATCACCAGCATCTGGCCGTCGCGTACTAGAATCTAGATCTAGGCCTACTGAAAAAAAATTATGGAAGATTTCGCGTACCCTTTTTGTGGACCGAATTTTCTGTCTCTTTCGTTCGTAAGCCTCTTATTGGGGTAGGGTCGGCTCTCTCTTTAGAGATGGAAGCCGACTATAAGCATTTCCTTGCTAACACCATATGGCCACTTATGGCCATATTTTTATGCCCCTGCATAAATAATCAGTTTAATTGTCACTTTTTAGGAAATATGGGTCAAAATCGAAATCCATGTTGAAAAGATTTTCAACATGGATTTCGATTTTGACCCATTATAATTTCCTAAAAAGGGACCATATGCAGTCAAGTTGTTAAGTGGAACTGATTTATTATAGCCTAGGCCTAATTTACAATACAACATGCACAAGGTAAAATGACATTTGGGGGGATTTTCGGGGCATAAAAATATGGCCATAAATGGGAATGCGTATAGTCGGCTCTCCGTCTCTAAAGAGAGCCGACCCTACCCCAATAAGAGGGCTAACGAACGAAAGAGACGGAAAATTCGGTCTACCCTTTTTAGTGTTCTTGCTGTCAGCATGTCTCGCATTTGATCCTCATCCAGAAGTTGAAATCTTGGGAGAGTTTCTAATTCAGCCATTTTTGCCTTGTTTGAATCGAGATTGCCGTAGGGTCTACTAAAAATGCCGACCAATTCTTCGCACACGTACGGTATCCGCGATCGCTCAAACCATTTTTTAACATGTAAACCTACAGTGTATGGGTATTTCACCAAGACTGAACTATGTTCCCGGTAACCATGGTAACTGGGATTTTAGAACTTTTTTTGAACTATTACATGGGTTTGGAATTTTACAGGAATAGTGAAAGTTTATGAATGCAATTTCGACCAATCAGATGGCTGGATTTCTTAAGTGAGGTATATAATGCAAACTATCATCGCTGAGGTGATCTTGGGGCTACTATCTTCCCGAGCCGCAAGGCGAGGGAAGATGGTAGCGCCGAGATCACCAAGACGATGATAGTTTGTATCCATTGCCCGAGTAAAGGAGGTTAATATTTGTTTTATATCCCACATCGGCAATAAGGTCTATTTAAAGTGAATTTTACATAATTAAAACAACTGATTTTGCAAACAGTTTAGCTTTAGCTAGATTTTACAAAGCACAACATGCGTTCATGTAATACAGTCGATGCGCGCTCATTTGACATTGACATTGACTTTGACATTTTGCGTAACCTACTTTGCTATGCTTATTCAATGCACAAGTCGCGCAAGTGGGGCAGCAGCAAAAAATTACTTTACAGAAAGATTTAGATCTATCTCAGGTAGATGGTATTTATCTAGATCTAGGGTAGAGTGCCCAGTATTCGGTCACTTAAGGGAAAATCGCTAATATTTTGAATTCTTATCTCTTTTATTTGGCAATTTACCCATCAAAAGAAAAGAAATTTATTCCTCTAACAGGATTTTATAGTCGCTTAAAATATAGAATAATGATATAAGCAAAATACTTCCGAAAGAAGACGGAGCATTTTTCTGCCCAGAATTCGGTCGCGCCGAATAGAATTCGGTCACGCGATTTGTGCGTGGTATCTCCGTTGCCAAGGAGCAAGGCGTATTTGTGCACTATTTTCACACAATTGCACGATAAAGCACTGAATGTCAATGCGTTGACCGAATACTGGCCGAGCGATACCGCATGGCAAGGGTATCGTATAAATACCTCTTGCACATCGGCAAGTGCGTCATTTGCAAATTCGCTGCGATGGAGTGAACACGGAAGTGATTCTCTTCACACACATACTAAATTTATTGCGACAGCACACGTAGTTGTTTCGCAATAGACTTCTACATATGGCTATGCATGTGCTAAGAAAACGCGGAAGTGCAGAAAGTTGTGCGACACTGACCAATTTCGAGCTAAGTTGGAGATCTTTCCAGGGCCCTAAATCTGATTAAATTTTGAGAGTAAAGAAAAGTTGTTCAGCTGCCTGATTTGTGTAAGTTTCGTGGCTCATAAATTATTTTTTAAATTGTTACAGCTGTTGAAACGGCTGTCTGACCGAATACTGGGAATGGACCTAATACTGGGCGCGCTACCCTATACCTTTTTCGTGCTCTGTACAATCGCAATGCAAACAACTATACATAAGGGATACAGTCTACTAGTACTACTGACACACGGTATTGTGTGGCAGGACATTGGCCATTGCAATGTAATGCTGTTGTGCTAGGGAGGCTGATACCAAAATCTGACATTTTAATTAGGCCTAGCCTACTCATTTCTCATCGTTATAACTAGTTATAAAAGAAAGTAAATAACCATCTGCCGACTCAAGAAGTGTAAAAAAAATAGGAGATATCCAGCTCCAAAGTTAGGCACATTCATGGGGCACTAGAGGGCGCTTTGCGCGTGTACAGAAATCTGAATTGCCTTGCTGCGGTTGGTCGGCAATAATCAGCCCAAAACTTGGATATGGCAGGGTGGAAGGATAAATCTTTTTTATAATGTTATTGTTATCCGGTCTTACCCCTAACCATCCTAGACCGAATGTTCCGTCTCTTTCGTTCGTTAAGCTTCTTATTTGGGTGGGGTCGGCTCTCTCCAGTTTCCAGTGGGACGTGTTCATCTTTGAGCCGACCCTACCCAAATAAGAGGCTTAACGAACGAAAGAGACGGAAAATTCGGTCTATAACCATCCTAGATCTAGACTATGTTTAACATAAGTAGAAATAACATGCGAGTACTACGAGAAGAGAAACATCGGGTCCATTAATGATGCAACTTTTTAAATATTAGCCCAGAAATGACCACCAAACAGAAAAAAATTGACATTTTTTTCCGACAAATCTTCATAAAATCTGAGTTGTAAACAACTCACAACTAGACTAGGTTTGGAAATACAAATACGATTTTCTGAAAATTCGGGTGTGATTTTTTAAGTTTCTTTCAATTATATTTCTGCGCATCGCAGCGCCAATTTTGTTCACTGCTTCAAAATCACCCTTAATCTATTTTTGCAACAAATTTGATACAAGGTCTGCGAGTGTTCCCCGTTCCTTGCGTGTTGAAAGTTTGGTAATACATAATTTACATTGACTCGCGCACGAAAAAATGGCTCGAAAACAAAATGTCAAATGAAGAAATAAACAAGCTTTTGTATAGTTATAAGAGATCTACCGAGGTTTCTTTGTCGATTTAATTTATTATATAGTCTCAATTAGAATTCAGAATTATCTCACTGAAAAGTTAAGAAACCAACGATGTTCATTTTCATTTTGCCAGCAGCCGATCTAGCGTTGTTTTGGCAAAAAGCTAGCCCGCCAGCTTCCCACGACGAATGTTTCGACTCCCGGTAAACTTGGGCGCTGCGGAGCTCTGAAGGTGCATTGGTATCGTTTGCAAACTCCCAGCCCGCTAGCTCCCCACAACGGACCATTCGTGGTATGGCAACAGTGTGTGTGCTAGGTACGATTTTGGTTTCGAGAATGCATGTAACGCAACCGTGCGCGTCATTTTCAGCTGTCGAATAGAGTGGTGAAGTGTGACGTCATCAAAAATCTATTTTTAGAATTTCTCAATTTTTTTTTCTTCACATTCCGAAATAACATCAAAAATAATGTCCAAATGTCGAAAACCAATTGAATATATTAAGTATTCGCTGAGATATGAACATCTGAATAAATATATGTCCTATAGGAACTCAGTGATATATGCTCTGGCTCCTAACCATTAAAAATAGGTTTTTATGACATCACAGCTTCGGTACTCTATGTCTAAGGACATTTTTACATGTACGATTTTAGGACGAATACTTGGTCAGTTTTCTTCTTATATCTTTAGTTGTACAACAATTAACAATATAATTTCTTCAAATTTGCTCCTGACTCGGTTCAGACTAATTGTCTGATATTTTTTTGCATGAATTTGCCTACCAAAGTTGGGGATTCCTTAAGTAGGGTGTATGATTGGGCGCTTGTTCAGAAAGGTATCCAAAATTTGACCCGTAACTCCGGCGTGGAGATACCCTACTAAAACATACCCAAAATGAAGTAAATATTCATTAAATGTCCAAATA